CTTTGACATATAATAGGTTTAAATTATGAGCGATATCTGTAGTTCATCATAATTTAGCAGATTTCCTTTTTAGTGACATGTTTGTATTATGTTTGTTGAGTGATGTTCTTTAATGTTTTAGTGCTTTTGCAGAAACGCGGTGCCAAAAATAAAAAGGAATGTCTTTATAATGAATTAAACATATCAAACATGGATTTGAAGTGGTTAACCCAAAACATGAAGGCTAGAGTAAGAATTGTTTAGGCTATCTATTATATGTTAGAAAATTTATAAACCCTAATAAAAATAGAAAATAATCAAAATAGAATAACAATTAGAAAAGCTGACCTGTAAGGCGGCAGTTATGATGTCACTGCCCTGGAACAACAGTTGCCGCCTTCGCAGAGGTAAATGGATGCAACAATGAACTAGCGGTAACCCCCAAGTGGCTGGCACTTGAGGTTATTGCGAATCTCAAGTCTCTTGCTCAGTAGATGATTTACCCGATGAGAAATTGATAGAAATAAAATGTAAAATCAATAATTACTTTTAGAGGGAGATGAGAGAATTGCTTACTCTTTTTGTCTTCTTCTTTTTCATCCTTCTCATGATATTCTTTTTTATTTCCTAAACGAGAAGAGCCGTCTCCAAGGTGATCCGAAGAAGTCTAATCACCGCGAAAGAAAAGAACAGAATTCGTTTACACCCCTTAAGGATTTCAATTTCCAAAAGTAATTAAGATGAATAATTTGGGATAAAAATTCAATATTTTCCTAATCAAATTTTCGAGTTTCAAGAAAGAAAAGGAAAATTAAGCAAGAAAAAATAAAGAATAGAATGTTGGGCAGCCTGATATTGTGAATTTGACAAAGTCACAAAGGTAGTTTTTGGCTTTGAATCCTTGCTTAGTGACATTTGTTGCAACATGAGGAACATAATGGACTAGACCTTGAATTAGGCCATTTTATCAGATGTTAACACAAGCACACGGTATGCATCCTTTTATGAGTAAGCGGGTTGGAGCGTTAACGCACATGCTCACAAAACTGTCTCATGAAAGTTACTATGAATCAGCCCCATGTCCTCTAACCGAGGTAGCATGCAATCATAAGTTTTAAAATTAGGTTATAAATCTTATACGAGGGGATGGTTTCACCTTCGGTTACATTGTTGTTCGTAACAATTATACTATCTTGGCAGCTGGCTTAATAATTTCAACCTTAAGGTTGTGCTGAGACATTTGGCAATTTCGAGCTAAGCATGCTTGGTATTATGGCAAAATTATGGGTTCAACTTCGAACTTGTAGATTTTATAGTCAATGTGCATTTAATCCTTTTACTTGACTTTTTTGAAGTTGCACTTTTGTTGCTCTTCTACTTGTTCCACTTCTAAAAAGCTCTCAAGTTATTCAAAAACTTGTAAATTTCCCCCATCCATTGAATATAATGCATTGGAGGTGTGGATGTTTAACCTCAAACTTGAATAGCCAAGTCCAATGAAGGACTTCCATGATCCAACTGATCGTAACATTAAGAAAAAAACGAACTGACACATAGCCAACCAGATGCTATGCCATATATGCAACCCAAGACTACATTTATCTTGATCTATCAACAAACCTTTAATAGTTCAAATGTGTGAAGTCAAGGAACTGCTGTCTTTGTAAATGAACTCAAACTAGGGTTAGTTGACACTTTGTGGTAGCTCATGCCTTGTACAATCCGAGTTATTATTTTTTCTCTAAATAATCTAAAGTGAGGGATCAAATAGTTTGAAAACATTTAACACATCATTTTTTAATGGCTGAAGTAAAGCATATAGGGAAAAGATTTTATAAGTCTCAAGCTAAGGTTTGTAGAAATCTATAATGACTGATTATGTGTGATCTTCTACATCGGTCTTCAGGTACACACATTAGACAATCTATACAGGAGATTGAGTGATTTGAAAAATGTTTCATTTCAGTGTGATATGAAAAATGTTTCGCTTCAGTGTCAAGTTGTTTCAAAATAAACTTGACTTCAATCATGAACAACATGTACCACTTGATGCAGAAATTATTTTTTTCTTAAATCACTTAATTTCTCATTCTTGAACTATTTAGGTGTGGGAGTGAATTTCGGTTTGCCCATTTCTTGTGTAGCAAGTGTGATATTAATATTCACTAGTTATAGATGCTTGCAAAATGTTTGTTCTTGGAAAAAACTCAAAAAGTCTATGGTTTCTCAAAACTAAGTAATTTTTGTGTATTTTTGTAGAATCTTGCTTATAACATTTTTTTAGGCCTCCCAAAATTTAACTCATGTTGGCTTTCCTAATACATTAAAAGAAACCTTTATTTATTTAAATTCAATAACATAATTTCTATTTTTCCATTGTAACCACTATGGATGCACTCAATTCTTATCCCGTCTCTCTGTGGATATCCACAAGTTCTTTGTAACATTCTTCTATCTCTTATACTCATTTTTAGCACATATTGTTTCTTAATGGCGCAATGATCTGATCTTTAAAACATTGTAGGTCTTATAGTTATCTTATAGAATTTATCCTTCAAGTTGTTATCCCTCTCTGTCCCCCTCTTCCAGGGTTTGTAAGATTTAGACTAGGAGTTTCATCTGTGCAAAAGTTTCTATTTTCTCTTTTGCTTAGTGTTTTACATTTTTGGTCTCCCACAGCTCTAGGAAAGATACTAATCAATGGGTTTGATGCGTTTGCGCAAATCCACATATTGAACTTGTTTTTTATGCAATTTTCAAGTGGGGATGGTCATGGGATTTAGGGTTTTGGCTCAAGTAGCTGGTACTTGGATTTCAAGCATTTGCCTGAAGTTATAATTTTTACTAGAGGTTTATTCTAGTGGTAAAAAGTGCAAATTAGATTCAAGTATTATCACCCTATGAAGCACGGATACTTCCCCGAAGGCCACGAATCCTTGTCTGACACGAATCAGACACGGATTCGTGCACGACACGTGCAAGACACGTGTCGGACACAGTCAATCCGTGTCGACACGGGTCAACTAGTCAACTGAGGGGGACACGATCAAACAGGGGGTAGGATACGGCTTGGATTCGCCGAACAAAGAAAAAACGCTGAATGAAGACAACTCGTAACCCGAAGCCCAAACCCAAAAGGCCAAAAACCCTAATGTTCACTTACCTCAGTCCCACCGCTCGTCCTCGTCTTCATCTATCGATCTTTTCTCTCAGATCTCGTGCTCGTCCTCGCCGTCCTCGCCCTCGCCGAGATCAGATCTTGTGCTCCACTCGTCGCTCGTCCCGTCGCTGATCTCATGCTCCTCGGATAGGCTCCACCCATCGCTCGTCCTCGCCAAGATCAGATCTTGTGCTCGTAATATGAAACCATAACATCCCTTTGCCAAAGAAACTATAAGATCAGATCTGAGTCCCGCCAAACAAAAAGAAAAAAATTTACTGAAAGACAAAACCCGTAACCCAAACCCAAACCCAAAACGAAACCCTAATATTTTCACTTACCCGAGTCTCGCCGCCGCTCGTCCTCGTCTTCTCTCAGATCTCGTCGCTCATCTTCTCTCAGATCTCGTCGTCCTTGTCCATCGATCTCGTCTCTCTCTCTCTCGATCTCTTCGTCTCTCTCTCTCTCTCTCTCTCTCTCTCTCTCTCTCTCTCTCTCTATCTCTTTCTCTCTCTCTCGAGCAGTCGAGACGCTAGGGATTTTGGAAGCTTGAGAGTTACGGCTGATAAAGGAACGTTTAAACCCTAGAAGCAGTTTATATACAAGGCAGATGGGCCTCTCGTAACCGTTAGATGATATTTGGATTAATTTCAACCGTTGGATAGATTACTGATGGGTTAATTGCATATTGGTCTCTTAACTCATCTTTAATTGTCATTTCACTATTTGTTTATTAGTCTGTTAAGTCTTCAGTTTTCTTACCAATTAGTCCCTCGTGTTAAGTGGTTATTATAAATTTTTTTATATATAATAATAATTTAAAAAAAATCCCTTGCCGTATCCCTGTATCCTATTTTTTTGAATTTTGTCGTATCTTGTATTCGTGTCCGTGTCGTATATGTCTCTCGTATCCGTATCCGTGCATCATAGTTATCACCTTTTTTTATAGAATTTTATATTTGTTCTACATGTGGTTTATGGCCAGCATCTTTTATTCATTTTGTAATTTAAATTTCTGTGTGCTACAGTGATTTTTCATAATGTCTCGCCGATATGATAGCCGAACCACGATATTTTCCCCCGAAGGCCGTCTATACCAAGTGGAGTACGCAATGGAGGCCATCGGCAATGCTGGGTCTGCCATTGGCATTCTCGCCAAGGATGGTGTGGTCCTCGTCGGCGAGAAGAAGGTGACTTCAAAGCTCCTACAAACCTCAAAATCCACCGAGAAAATGTACAAAATCGACGACCATGTAGCTTGTGCGGTTGCTGGCATAATGTCTGATGCCAACATCCTCATCAACACCGCTCGAGTCCAAGCCCAAAGATACACCTTTTCCTACCAAGAACCCATGCCAGTTGAGCAACTTGTTCAGTCCCTTTGCGATACTAAGCAAGGATACACCCAGTATGGTGGGCTCCGTCCATTTGGTGTCTCCTTCTTATTTGCCGGTTGGGACAAAAACTTCGGCTTCCAGCTTTACATGAGTGACCCTAGTGGAAACTACGGGGGTTGGAAAGCAGCAGCAATTGGTGCAAATAACCAAGCAGCACAATCGATGTTGAAGCAGGATTATAAGGAGGAGATTACGAGGGAGGAGGCTGTTGAGCTTGCGATTAAGGTTTTGAGTAAGACGATGGATAGTACGAGCCTTACTGCAGAGAAGCTTGAGCTTGCGCAGGTGTTGTTGTTGCCTTCGGGGGAGGTGAAGTATGAGGTCTGCTCTCCGGAGGCCCTTGACAAGTTGTTGGTGAAGTCTGGAGTGACCCAACCGACTGCTGATGCCTCTTAAAGTGATTCTTGAATCTGCGCCAGAATTTACCCTGGTATATGCTCTTCTGCTATGTGGAGATTCTTTATGATATTATGGCTCTTGGGTTTGGTCCAAGAGCTTAGTTATCTTATATGGCAGACGATTTATGTTACATTAAATGTTTGCTTGAAATGAATTTGATCTTCAGTCTTCCATCAGTTTGCATTGAGTCACCCAATATGGTTGTTCGTTATGTCAAGAGTATTTGCTGGGTTTTGCTGATGGGTGGCACAATATTATTATTCTTATCTTTCTATCTATTTTCAGAAGTTTCTTACCTGACAGTGTTGATGCTGTTACGGTCTATATGGGTGCTTCACTGGTTACAGTGGCAATCAGAACTACTGTCCTTATCACAGTTGCTAAAACAATGTCTCATTTGCATCAACATGGTTATTTGCAAGCTTACTAAGCCTTCTCCTTTTATATGTTGGTTCAACCAAAGATAAGGTAGCTGATTCTATTTGGATTCAAGGACCAAAGTAATATGTTTTAAATGAGTCTGCTTTGTTAAATTTTGCTTGGTGGTGGGTATGTTTTCAGAATATCTAGTTCCTTTCTTTTTCTGTTGTTTAATCTGGTAGTCTCTTGCACTTGCCTTTTACTAATATCTTAACTGCTTATTTTTCCCCCCTCTTTTTGGATTTTGTTTCACTATCATTTTCTCCCAAATTCATGTAGATTTCTATTAACGTTTTGTATTACTTTATAATTTTTTTTTCTTCTGAGTTCCTTGTCGCTAGAATGTGTTGGGTAACAATTCAGTTCTGGGTGCTGTAACTGGGTCCAACCAGAGGCTTGTGAGTTTCACCACTACTTGCTACTTCAAAAATGTATCCGTTCTCTTTATGCATGCTATCAAATATTTGTATGATGGTTTGTGTGGACAATGCGGTTTTCATTTATCTAGAAAAATCTTATTGTAGAGTGCCTATAGATATAATGTCGTGAGTTTGTGCTTAGAAGATAATATGGTGGTTTTAGAAATGGAAAAAGTATCTGGTATGTATATTAATACGATTAAAGATATATACGATAAAGTATCAACTAGAGTGACGACATATGGATGAGAAACAAAATCATTTCTTATTACCATACTTTTTTATTATTGTTAAGAATCAGCTTTAAGTTCTTATCTTTTTGCATTAGTTATCAATCAACTTACTAGACATACTCAAGACAAAAGTCTCATGACGATGTTAGTAGTTGATGAATAGTGAGAGTAGGGAAGTGACATTTTCTAATATGGAAACTTGGAGACTACATGATTTAGAATTAGTAGGAAAAAAGGATATATGGAATATAATTTTACTAAAACTGTGAAGATGAAGGACCGCATAATGCATATTGATAGTCAAAAATTATATAAGAGTAATCACTTCTGTTATTTAGGCTCAGTTATTCGTCAATCGTCAAGTGTCATGGTTATGAGATAAAGGATGATGTGGTTTATCGAATTAAATCCTAATGGTAAAATGAATGAATGCCTCTAGAGTCTCATGTGACTGTAAAATACCTACAAGACTGAATGAAAATTTCTATAGAACTGTTCTAAGCTAACAAGATTTGAATATTGGTCAATTAATAAACATCACGTTCAAAAAATGATTGTAGGGGAAATAAGAATATTACGATGGACTTGTGGATATTCCCTAAATGATAGAATAATAAATGAGTGCGCTCGTAAGAGATTAGGTGTTGCTCCTGTCAAAGATAAAATGAGAGTCAAAGATAAAATGAGAGACGATTGAGATGATCTGGTCATGTACAATGGATGCTACTAAGTGCGAGAATGGATAAGATTGTAGTTAATGGGACAAATAGGAATACGTATAGACAATAATTGGTTAGAAGCAATTAAAAAAATACGATAATTATTAACTTAACAGAGGAGATGACTAGAACCGAATGGAAGAATAAGATTCTTGTAGCTGACCCCAAACATTCGGGATAAAGGCTCTCTTGATGTTGTATGGTTTGTATGGACCCTTTAAATGTAATGGATCCTATTCCTATCACATGATTTACGTAGTTGGAAAACTTTAGCTATATGTACCATTCCTTCTTGCCATGTTGGATATCTTTCCCAGGTACTGGTTTTCAAAAACTGCATTTGATTTGATATCACATTTTACTTCATTCCTCCAGCTGAAACTAGATATGAATGATGAGACTAGAAGTTGTGAAAACCTGGAACCCAATACAGTATGCATTAAGATGAGATTAGAGAATGAAATTAGAGGTGAGAATGAGGTCGCCAATTTATGTTGCGGTACATGCAGTGGAGTAGTCGAGATTTTGTTCAAGTTGTGTCCCGATATAATTTATCATGGTTGTGTTTAAATTTTATATTGACAATTTTGCAAATTCATTCCTTGTACTAATGTCCTATTCTAATTCCGCTAGTGTCCTAACTAGTAAATACAAACAAAAATAAATAAAAACATATATAAAACAGGCAATTTAGTAGTGTCAAATGGCACTACTGGACATTATGTTGCTCCATGACTAAGTACATGCATTCATATTCTTAGAGGATGCCTGCATTACCTAGAAAAACTAGAGTTATTGATGATGGAATTAGAACTGTACTATGAGGCACATGCTTAAATTTGAGAACCTAATTTGTCACATTAATTATCCTGAGCTTCTTTTTATGTGTTTGTTAGTCTGTATACATTAGGTTACCAGTATGGGAAATTATTTTATTTCTGAATTATACAGAATATATGAATGCCATGTGAAATGGATACATGAAAAGATCTAACGGCGGTTGACGACTGCTGAGGGACACTTGCGAAATAATTAACTGGCTTGGTTTTGGTTTAGGTTAGGGTTTAGGCTTGGGTTTAGTCTGGAGTATGTGTCACTCAAACAAAATGAGTGACAGAGGCAGTCGCTTTGGCCCTAGAAGTGCTCATGGCTACATTCTTAGAGATGTGCATACGTCATCTATTTTCTGTTGTGCGCAGCGAAAATTTCGGCAGAGTTTCTGGTGCACAATAAGAAAGAAAGACCGCAATAAGAATTCCCGTCTCACCAAGGAAACAAGAATCTGAAGCGAATATCTCAACAAAGTGAGATATCAGCTCTTCCTGTCATCAGTTCTAGGACGGGGGGGGGGGGGGGGTCTACTATTAGAGGAAGAGAATACAAATGGGTTTATAGTCTCACAAATTAAACCCTCAAACTATCTCTCAAATCACTCACAATTTCTCTCTCAAAAGAGCCAAAAAGCCTCTGTTTGCACGGAGCCAAAGAAAGCCGCTGCTATTTATTCTGCCCTCTGCTCTGGCACAACCACCTACTTTTTCCGTTTGCATGAAGTCCTAGAAGAGACAGCCGCCTCCTCTGCGCACCCTCTTTGCACGCCGCACAAGCACGTCCCCCTGCCTTGTACTCCTCTTCACGAAGCCCTAGCCAGGGTATTTATAGTGTTGCAGTTCGTGGGCCGCACCGCAATCACTTTACGTGAAATCTTCTCACACCAAAAATTTGTGCCCCCCCCCCTCAAATCTCCTCACGTGCCGTAAACATCTCTTCACACGACGTAAACGTGGTGGTCCACCTATGTTCACAATTCTCCACCTCAGTGAAGTTTTCTCAAAACTGAGCCGACACCAACCAAACCAAATGTCTCACTTGTTACGTCCAGTACGAAGTGAAACAATTCACGACAACGAACTCAATCCACAACAAGTTGAGAATCCAAATGAGAATGCAAACACTCTCCAAATGTCGGTATCAACTCACCAAATCGGCTGTATCATAAATGACTGCCTAGTATCCTCTTGCCCAAGGAATCAATCATCACGTAGTTCATCAAAATGACCTTCAAAGGCCCTTAATCCAATAGAAGAGTTCGTAACCCTCCTCCAATATTATCAACTCTGCGGCTGATAGCAACTCTAATGGCCTCAAAGTGTAACGAATCAAACACCTTCACCTGAGGTGAATCAATGGCCATATCCAAACTAAATCTACCAACTGCACTCGAATCAAACAACTCATCATATGCATCCAAATCTAAATGATTCCCAAACTGTGTCACCTCAGCTAGAATCTCAAACGATGCAGTATGATCTGGAGTATGTGAAGTAATCTCCACCAAATATGAAGTAGCATCACTCTCCACCCGTTGCGATACATCTAAGGTCTGTCCAAAACTCTTCACCTGCTGAGAGTCAAATAGCTCCCTCATTGAAGCCTCAACCGAAGTGACACTACCTGACCAAACACCAAATTGAGTTTTACCTCCTATCATAGCAGTTGACAACTCTTTAATAAGATGACTCGAATATATTAAAGCCTCAGTCCATAAACTCTTTTGCAGACTATTGCTTGACAACAAACACCGATCCTCCTCCAGTAAGGCACGACTCTCCAAATTTGTCACCATATCTAGTTGCCCTAAGATTTTCTTTCCAACAAAGTATCTCGAAATGCCGTGAGCTCGGCTCCAATACAGAAACAAGTCCATCTTGTACCTCCCACCAAAATCAGAATGAAGTACCTTCACCTTTCTACTAATCTCACACTTCTTCAATCTGTTGGAAACTAGTAGGACTTTATCCAAAAGAGATTTGGTTATAACCCAAACTCTCCTAGAACAGCCATCAACAAAGGAAACCAAACATCTATTACCTTCCAATGATGTCCCCTTGGAAGGCCCCCAAACATCCACGTGAACATCTCCAGAACGACCCTTAGCACGGTGAATAGAGGTGCTAAACTTTACCTCGGTCTTCTTGCTCACATCAACATGTTCACTGGACTTCAAACTGCAGGTCTTCGCACCCTTTTTTAATCTATACAAGGAATCAATACTGGAATGGTCAAGCCCTAAATTCCGCAGTCTAGTCGAATCAATAGAAGTCGTCACTTCTCCACCTGTCACTATACCTCTAGTCAAGTAATATAGGTTATTCCTCTTGACGCCCTTCATCACAATCTGAGAGTCTTCTACAATCTTAAGAACCATGTCCTCAATTTGAATATTCAAACCCTCTCCAGCCAAAGCTCCAAATCGAGATCAAGTTTTTCATTAAGGAAGGAACATATCTCACATCATATAACTCCCTAGCAGTCCCGTCAAATATCTTAATGCGAATTTTTCATATCCCAAGGATCTGGCATGCACAGTTATCAGCCATGTATACCACACCACTATCCAGCTTTTTAAAACTAGAGAACCATTCCTTTCTAGGGCACACATGATAGGTCGCACCCTACCCAACATCCATTCAGATTTATCTGAATAGCTATCTGTAGGACTGATAGAAAGTGAATAAATAGAAGAGTCAGAAATATTATCATCCGATATAACGATGTTTGCTTCTGATAATGGTTACTTCCCTTTTTTCTTTTGTTTATTCTTCATCCATTCGT